TCCAAGGCTACCTGGTCCAGAAAACTTGACAAAGTATTTTCTTTTGAGGCCCTGATGCTTCTTTATTTACATTTCATTTTAGATAAATTCAATTTTTTTCTTCATCTTTCACATTGTACCCAATGGTATAGAAGAATGCATGAAAGTAAATATTAAAGTTTCCCTAGAAATCTTAAAGTATTTCTGCTTTGATTTTGATAGTTACATCACAGTTTATTTGTGTCATCTGGCGTAATGGCCTCTTCAAAGCCATATATGCTGATAGGTTTTTGATATTTAGTATAATGTTATAATTAACAGAATAGTTAAATTGCTAACATAAAAATTAATCTTTAAGTGTCAATAGTTTTTGTTTACTCAGTCATGCTTTTCTTTAAAAAGGATTAAATTCTTAAAGTGACAAAGTAAATAAGAAACAGAATCAAAACTATTTGCAGTGTTCTTTTAAACACTTACATTGTCCTTTCTAATATATGCAGTAACTGTTTTACTTTTTTTCTTCAATCTACTCTTGTATTCATCCAGCATTGTCTAAACACTGCCTTCCCTCCCTTACTTTCTCACTTGATGAATCCCACACAGTGCTCCAAGAAAAACAAAACAAAACAAAAATGTCAGGATTCAGAGACAGGGTCTTAAAGCAGCTACCTGCTCAACAATGCATCCAGAAAGAGAGTGGAATGATGCCTTGGGAAAAAAGCTCACCTGAGACCCTTAAAATCTGGTTCCAGTCACTAACAAGCCTAAGAAACCTAGCCTTAGTTTCTTCATAAAAAATGAGAAAGCTTTGCATTCTCCCTCACTCTTTGAATCTATAAGATAGTAAGTAGAAAAAATAAGTGGTTCCTAAATGTTTAGAGGCAAAACCTAAACATAAATCATTAGCAAATTAATTAAATAAGTGTTGGAACAATGCAATAAGATCTAAAAAATGGTTAAGAACAATTAATTGGCTTACATAATTAGGTATTTTTAACCACCCACTTTTATTGTTTCAGCACTTTTTTAAACATGTTTATTTGATAATTATTACTGTACTTTACAAATAAATTTAACATAGTCATAACATATTCTTAAAAATATAATTTCTTTTTTTAAAAAAAGTCAAGTTAGAGCTTTCTCAGAGCTAACGTGTTTCTAATTATTTGTCCTTTTGAAAATTAATCAGGTATTAGAATCTCTTATAATTTATTCCCTATAATTAAGAAAGGTCTAAAATAATGACCATACCTTCCAGAATAGCCTATTTCACACCAAAAAGAACTTCTAATCTTTGTTTTATTTAGGAACTCTACATTAAAATATACTTATCAAAATTATATTGTGTTATTTACATTTATGTTTACTATGCTATTTATGTTATTGTAATAAACATGCTTTATTTTTATACACTTTTATTTTCCTTTATATAAATAAAATCCTTCATTGTAAAAATGTAAAAGAATCACAATTTTTGTCAAATTGCAATACTGAATAAGGTTCTCCCCTCAGGACAGGAGAATGAGTTAGTTCTCTTCTAAACTAGAAAATATCTTGGAAGTTGGATAATTTTAAGCCATGCTCCAGAAACTTTTACTTCATCCAGCTTTCAAATATAAGTGGGAAAATGGCTTTCCTCAAGAAGAAATGCTCCAGATTCTTGTATGAATCTACAGTTGATTCTGAGAAACTTAGACTCTACATATACAGAGGACTTTGGTGTAGAATTGGTTGGTAGAAGCTTAGAAATAAAAATTACATGTATCAAAAATGTAATAATTTAACTTTTGGTTTGCTATAACATGATAGATTATTATTATTGTTACTATAGTATTGGAAAATAAGTTAAAAACTCTGATCTTCCACAAATATTACAAAGGAATGCTTTCTGATCAATTTACTCAGATCTACTCCTTTAAAGTTCTTCAACAAGTGAAGACCATATATGACAAGCCCACAACTAGCATATCCAATACTGAACATTTGTGCTCTAAAGTTAGGAATCTTCTCTCATGATTTCTATTCAACATAGCTAGAGTTAAGCAATAAAAAGAAATAGAAGTCATCCAAATAAGAAAAACAAAAGTTAAGTTTTCTCTAAGTGCTAACAAAAACTCATTTTACATTCAGAAAATCCTAAGAAGTTGGAACTAATTAGAACTGGTTAAAACTAATAAACAAATTCACTAAAGTCATATGATACAAAATCAATACACAAAATCCAAGAGCATATATATGCACTAACACAGATTATCCAAAAATGAATCAGGTGTAATGGTGTGTACCTATAATCCCAGGTGATTGAGGCTAGAAAATCACAAATTGGAGTCCTGCTTGATCAAAAAAAGGGAAGAAAATAATATCATCTAAAAATGCTTAGGAGCAAATTTAAAAGGATGTAAAAGATCTGTATGCTGAAGCCTACAAAATATGGAAGAAAAAATGAAGATGGTGCAAATAGATGGAAAGATAGACTGTATTCATAGGTTAGAAGAGTTAATATTGTTAAAATGCCCATACCATCTACAACACTACCATCTGTAGATCCAAAGCAATCTATAGATCCAATGTAATCTCTATCAAAATTCCACTATCATTCTTAACAGAAAAAGGGAGTACAATCTTAACATTTTTATAGAATTACAAATGCCTCCAAATAGACGAAATCATTTTCAGTAAAAAGAATAAAGCTGGAAATAACTCAGTACTAGATTTCAAAACATATTACAATTACAAACTCATAGTAATCAAAACAGCATGACACTGATGTAAAAGCAGACATACCAACAAATAGAGCAAAATAGAACAGAAAAAAAATGACACTCAATTGATTTTTGACACAGGTGCTGAATGGGAAAAAGTTCTCTTCAGTAAGTGGTGTAAGGAAAATTGGATACCCACATTTGGAAGAATGAAATTAGACCCTTATCTTATATTCCATATAAACAACTCAAAATGGATTAAAAATTTAAATATAAAACTTGAGATTTGAACTTACTATAAGAAAACATAGAGGGAAAAGCTCTATGAAATTGGTCTGGTTAATGATTTCTTGGCTATGAATCCAAAAGCACAGGCACAAAAAAGCAAAAGCATACAAATGGTGCTACAGCATACTAAAAAGTTTCTGCACAGTGAATGAAACACTACCAGAGTAAACAGATAACCCAAATATTTGGAGAAAGAAAATGCATATGATAAGGAGTAAATACCCCAAGTATATAAGGAACTAAAACAACTCAAGAACAAGAAAATAGATAACCCAATATAAAAATGGATAAATATCATGAATAGATATTTCTCAGAAGAAGATATAAAAATGATCAACAGGTATTTGAAAACTGCTCCAGTCACTAGTAGTCAACTGGACACAAATTAAAACCACAATGAGATATCGCCTCACACTTGTTACAGTGAGTATTAGCAACAAGTTGGTGAGGAATGGAGAAAAGGAAACCCTTGTGTAATGTTGCTTGGAATGTAAATTAGTAAAGCCATTTTGGAAAATAGTTAAAGAAGCTCTTCAAAAATTTACAAATAGAATTACCATCTGATCCAACAATCCCACTTCTCATTTTGTATCCAAAGGAAATTAAATCATAATGTTGAAGAGATATTTGTACTTCTGAGGTCATTGTGGCATTATTCACAGTAGCCAAAATATGAAATCAGCCTACACATTTGTTGATGGATGAATGGATAAAGAAAATGTGCTATATATACATGATGAAGAACTATTCAGCCTCAAAAAAAAATATTCTGCTCTGAATGACAGAATGAATAAGCCTGGAGGACATTACACTAAGTGAAATAAGACCAGCACAGGAGGCAAATACTGCATAATCTCACTTCCATGTGAAGCCTAAAAGCCCATAGATGTAGAGAGTAGAATGGTAGCCACCAGAGGCTTGGAGTGAGGAGGAGGACAGGAAGAGGAGAGGTGCTAGTCAAACAGTGCAAAGTTCCAGTTTATAGGAGGACTAAGTTCTAGTGAGTTACTGCACTTCATGGTGACTACAGTTAATAATAATGAATTATGTATTGCAAAATTGCTGAGGATAGATATTAAATGTTCTTACTGCAAGAAAATAATAACTATATGAGGCAATAGCTATGTTAATTAGCTTGATCTAATCATCCCACAAGGTATGCATAGATGATAACATCACTGAGTGCCCAATAAATATATACAATTATTTGCCAATCAAAAATATTTCATCCTCTCATCGAACTCAAGCTCTCTTTTGTAATACTTTAAGATTTCTATTTCCCTTCTTAAATTTGTAGGCCCCAAAGTGACCACACAGAGAGTGATCTGGCCAAGAGATTCTTTATTGCTGGGTGGGAGAGGGAGAGAGCCCAGAGAGAGAGAGAGCGAGAGAGAGAGAGAGAGAGAGAGAGAGAGAGAGAGGGCAGGTGCTTAAATATCCCTCAGTGAGACTCGGCATGATCTGATTGGTTAGGATCTTATGGTTCATGCTGATTGGAGGTTGGGGCAGAAGGAGAATTCAAGCTAGACTTGAGGCAGGACCGTGACCCTGGGAAATAGAAGCTTAAAGGTGCAGTAAGAACAGAAACCTATCGGTGCCATTATTGCCAACAAAATTAACACACGTACTGAAGGAAACTAACACTTACTAGTTGAGATTCATTTTTGTTATATACTTTAGGTAAGGTGTAAAGAAATAGAATCTTAATATATTTCTTCCAAGTATAATAAAATACTTCAGTGTTGTTATTTTACATCATGGTAAATAAAGGATGTTTCAAATGCAGGGATGAACTTCTTATCAATAACAAATTTCATTTAATAAAGACAAACTAATGTATGCATACACATCTTCTAAACAAAAAAGAGATAGGAAAAATTGTTGATAAAATGAACTAATACAAAATATATAAATTGCCCTTGTCTTTGGAACTGAGATTATAAATTTTTTTCATAGTCAACTGAGGTGTGATTAACATTTAAGCCAAAGGTTTCTCCAGGAGTTACTTTGGATTTATAGGCTCATGCTTACCAGCACTCCTTTTGAAGCTGCATTTTATGGGAGATGAGATGTTTGAGCACCTTGCTCAACTGAGGACTATTATTCTGAACACAAGACCAAGCAGCGACACAATGCCAGAGCAGGTGGCTGACTTTATATCCTCCCAGATTAAATTGCAAATGTTCCTGGAATTCAAATACAAATGTATATCTGGGAAAGAATTCTTTGAACAAAGATGAAATAAATTTTAAATATACAAAGTAAAATGCATATTATCCTACAATCCATGTTTCACCAAGAGAAATAATTTTCATAAGTATATTTTGATATGGACATATAGTGAATCTGAACCTAGTGTGTATCTTTTCCACAGAGGTTCCTTGTGTTCAATGACATCAGTTCTATGATATGACAAAAAACCCTGCATCCTCTAGGGAACTATTAGACATGATTGTGTTTGTTAGACTCTATCTGTCTTAGTTTTTCCTGACACTTGAGGAAGAGAAGACCAGAGAAAGTTTGAGCAAAGATCTAACAGTAAACTACACTTTTAAAAAAGTGTATTTCTAGGATGGGCATGGTGTCTCATACCTGTAATCTCAGCTGCTCAGGACACAGAGATGGAAGGATCATGGTTCAAGGCCAGCCCAAACAAAAAGTTACCAGACTCCATCTCAACAAATAAGCTGGGCCTGTAGTACATGTGTGTGATCCCAGCTATGGGGAGACACAGGCATGAAGATGGCCTGAGGCTGGCTCTGGAAAACAAGAGTGAATCCCTATCTGAAAAAAGGTCTGGGGCATGACTCAAGTGGTAGAACACCTGCCAAAGGAGTGAAAGGTCCTGAGTTCAAACTGCAGTATTGCCCACCCTCTTCCAAAATGTGGATTTATTTTTACTTTGAAGGCCAAAATATATGTCCTAAAGACTGGGCCAATGTCTGTTAATTAGGTATTTTTAAAAACTACAAATTTGTTTTTTTCTCATAGTGCTTCTTAATAGTTCCAAAGATTTAACTGGTTTACTAAAGTAATCGGTACACAATGATGACACAGCACTCATTGGATATTTGCCAAAAATAAAGATTCAAACACATATCCTGTTTTATGCACTCAGATTGCTAACTTAGCTGGTATTTTGTACAGTTAAAAAAGAAACACTTAAACCAGGCATGGGGGGCACACCTATAATCCCAGCACTCTGAGGCTTAGGTAGGAGAATCATGGCAGCCTGGCCAGTCTCTACAAATAGAGACTGTCTCAAAAACAAAAAAAAAAATTATAAACTAAAGGGCTTCATTATTCTTATTTATTATACAAAACAATGTCACAACTACGATTTTCATGTTGAGTTCTCTTAAGATAGAAGGCCAGAAGTTCAAACACAAATTCAAACTATGACATTTAAAATTTCTAGTGAACAGTTTAGTTAAATACCACTGATGTGCATTGATTCAGTTTATGTCAGGGACCCTATTAGATGAGTGAAGCAAAATCTACACAAGCCCACAGGCTCTGCAAAGCCATCATTCAGAAAAGCAAATGGAAACAAACCAGTGTTTGGGCAGTTAGCATACTCCCCATAAGTGCTCTATTCTAAAATAATATAAGGTGTCGGACTAAGACATGCTGAATTCAGTAAACACACACATAATTCAATTTTCTGCACTGTGGTGGAGCCTATCCAAAAAGTGGAACCCATATAAATGAAATTCTCTTCTCAAACTGCTCTAGGTGACCTCGGCCAGATGCCTGACAGTCCTCAGGTTGCAAAGTTATTCCAAATAAATAGGGAAGTAGATATGTTTTGAAGCTTTGGAATGGCTTGACTAATGAATTTAAAACAGTCCATATTTTTTTTCTTTTTAAGTCATAGGTATTGGATGGCTATATAGACTATTCATTTATGTAAGAAAATACTTGTGCTAACACACTTATGCGCCATCAGAGAAAATTCCTAAAAGCAATTGAAGGAAAAGACCAGGTTTGAGACAATGACCAAGACTGAAATTTTATTTTCAGTTTTATATGATGCTGTTTTTACTTGAAAAATAGCATTGAAAAAGATAAAAAGTGGCCTATGATGTCTAGGGCTGCTTTGACATCAGGTTATTACAGGCAGGTCTGACACTCAGACAGGTCATTTTGATCTGTTGGACAAAATACTAACCCCAGATACTATTACCCTGAGACCAGGCTATACAAAGCCACTTGATAGGGCTTTTTCCTAAGCACGGACAAAAACAAAGTCACTGCGCAACTTACAAAATGCCAAATTGTAGAATTGCCCCTACGTTTTTCTATCGGCATTGAATCCAAAAAGAACCTCTGCTTCATTAGGTCATCTCCATCACGCCTGTAACAGATGATATCTAACAACTGTCTCTTCTTGCTGAGACATCCCATTCTCATGTTCTCCATGATCTCTCTCTCTTTCTCTCTCCCTCTCTCTCTCTCTCTCTCTGTCTCTCTCCCCCCTCCAATAAACCCAATTCTATACATGTACCCCCATTGACCTTAGACTTAGGGCAATAGTACCCTCGAGAGCTCATTTACCAAGGTTCAATGAATTGATAACATTATGATGACCATGTGACTCTGTTTCTCCCACACGGACATGACCAAAGCAGTAGACGAGTTCTCATGTGGGGTGGATCTCTTTGCCTTCACACTAAGTCAGTCCTACTCTACAAAGGGTTGGCAAATAAATGCCACTTGCAAATTATTAACAGAAATTAAGAATCCACATTTAGAAACTTCTACAACAATCAGACAGAATGATTATATACATATTCACTTTAATAAAAATTAGATTTATATCTTTTTAGTTTATTTTTCACTCATTATTATCTTATAAAATTTTTCACTCATTATTATCTTATAAAATTTTTCACTCATTATTATCTTATAAAATTGTCAGTCTGTGATGGTCTAGGAATTAAAACCAAAGGAAAAATATAATGAAAAAGTTGGGACAATCTTTTACCACAGATAGTTTGAAAAGCACAGCTTTTTCCCCTCCTTTCCATCCGTCCCTTCCTTTCTTTTTTTCTTTCTTTCTATTCTTTCATCTCCCTGTTTTGCTGCCCAGCTCTGGGCTGTCTGTTGCAGCTTATATGATGTGATGCCCACTTTGAGAAGCCCAGCTACAAAGTGTTGTTCATTTACTGTCAGCTGAGAATTCAGATTCCACATCACCTTGACTTTTATGAAAATTTATGGACAGAAATTCTTGAGTGTCTGGTCAGATTCTCCTTTATAACTCAAATGAGCTTTCAAGCAAGGGCTCTGTTTTTGCAGCTCAGATACAGCGTCTGAGTTTCGTCCTTATTTTCAGTAATTTTAGGGATGGCTGACATTGCCATAAAAGCCCTCTTCATACAAATGTGTTACCTGAATAACAGAACGTAAATGACAGAACAATGTTCCTAATTTTAAAGAACCAGTGTCTAATTAAAATCCAATTCCTAATACTATTTACAATTACAGTACAGCACAAAATGTCACAAATTTAGCCAGTGCCTTTGGCTTAGCGAGTACTTAAAGTATTAGAGGATGAGGTCGCTGTGTATCTTTAGTTTTCAGGGAAGTGTTTGTCCTTTAGAGATGGCACTATTTAATAAATAGACTCATCCACTTTAACTGAGTTTGCAGCTACCTTCTCCAAAGAACTATGTTATTATTACCATGCAAAAACTGTGCTTGGAAATTTGGCTTCACTAGCAAGCAAAGGACAGAGCAGAAAACTCAACCAGCGATCTGGCTCTGTAATCCCACAGCTAATTAAAGTGTACCATTTGTCAAAGTCAATGGAAACCCTGTGTCTGGATCCCTTAAGAGAACATTAAAAGAAGAAATGGGGTCCAGCACCAGAGGGAAGCAAATTTCCTCTTCTTCAATAGAACCAATATCTGTATTGTATATATTGTAGTGTGTAAATCCCACAGAATTTTAAAAGCATTTTTAGCAGTAGTTGGGCAACAAGTAATTATGCTTTTATGCCAATTCATGTAAGTATAAATAATCAAATATTATGCTGTCACAGACCTTTTAGGATTATTAGAGAATGCAGGCTTATGAATAAATTCATAAATCCTTAGCCATAACATATTAATAATAAGGAAGAGAGAAAGGATGGCTACGAATATATCTTTTGTATTCTACTTCTTATTTTTATTTGTCCTCTTTTTCCCAAAGGTGGATGAGATGGGTAGAAGCTCAGTTGAACTGGAAAGGCTGGCTTAGACTAAGCTGCACTGAAATCAGTGGGGCTGAAACTGGGAACAACAATGCTTGTAAGTCAGGCATTGGATCAGTGCTGATTATCTGAAGCAGTAATTTAGTACGCTATCCTTTATGATCTATATTCTGAGGTAATCAGAGGAGAAAAAGAAGTGCAACAAACCTGGCAGGCCAAAATCTGTTACAATCCCCTCAGAGAATCCCATGGACAGAACCGAAGTGGAATTTAGGAACCACTGAATGTTTGTGTTCCACAAAGTGGGAAAAAGGCACAAGACTTACTGACCAGAGTCTCCCCCTAACAGACGAAGGTGAAACACTCAAATCACTACATTAGGTCAATACCATCAGGTCCTAAATATAAAATTATTATATTTAACTGCCTAGGCTGAACTGAATTCCCACATAGGTTTTCAGTCGTCATTGTCTACACTCATCACTTAATTTCCAATGCACATTTTGTTGTTTGGTTTTGTAACTTCCCCAGCAGCTCTGTAGAGAGGGTAGATAGGATGAGGGTGAAGATGATGATGACCAGGACTTTTTAAAGATAAGCAAATGAGGTTCAGATCTTAACAGACCTCCTTCTAGATCACACAGTCATTTGGCTAGCAAGTCTTTTCTCTTCATGATTGGTGTTGCTTCTATTGTTCAGTATCTTATATGATAGATTTATTGTTAATATTTGAACTTGGGGCCTTGATCTTGCTAGGTAACTGTTCTTCCACTTGAGTCACAACACCAGTCCTTTTGGCTTTTAGGTTATTTTTCAAATTCTTGCTTTTTACCTGGGGTTGGTCAAGACTAAGATTCTCCTACCTACACAGCTGGGATGATAGGCAAGTGCCACCACACTGGGCTTGTTTTGATGAGATGGGGTCTCAGTAACTTTTTGCCCCAGGTGGTCATGAACCATACTCTTCTCGATCTCTGCCTCTAAACAGCTAGGATTATAGTCATGAGCCATGCTGCCCAGCAAGATCCTTACTGTCCATGACACAATTTGTAGTCATTAGTAATTATAACCAAAAGTTTTAAGTTACTAGCAAATGTCATTCTTTATACAAATGTTTCAGCATTAATAAGCCAAAAGAAAAACAGGCCTAGAAAGATTACAAATAGATATGATGAAAATTTCTTTTCTTACCCATTTAATTTATAGCTAATGTTAGAAAGTTTAAAAGGCCCCAAGAGCAACATGGGAAAACTATGAGCCCATATATAAATAAAGCTATTTTGGAAGAATTTTCCTTAAACTTCCTTATTATTTCAATTCACATTAATTTTTTTTTTAGTTGATATAAGGATTTTTTTTCCTTTTTCTTTTATTATTCATATGTGCAATACAAGGCTTGGTTCATTTCTCCCCCCTGCCCCCACCCCTTCCCTTACCACCCACTCCGCTCCCTCCCTCTCCCCCCCCTTCAATACCCAGCAGAAACTATTTTGCCCTTATTTCTAATTTTGTTGTAGAGAGAGTATAAGCAATAATAGGAAGGAACCAGGGTTTTTGCTGGTTGAGATAAGGATAGCTATACAGGGCATTGACTCACATTGATTTCCTGTGCGTGGGTGTTACCTTCTAGGTTAATTCTTCTTGAACTAACCTTTTCTCTAGTTCCTGTTCCCCTTTTCCTATTGGTCTCAGTTGCTTTTAAGGTATCTGCTTTAGTTTCTCTGCGTTGAGGGCAACAAATGCTAGCTAATTTTTTAGGTGTCTTACCTATCCTCACCCCTCCCTTATGTGCTCTCGCTTTTATCATGTGCTCATAGTCCAATCCCCTTGTTGGACTTATTATTTCCTTATTATTTCAATTCACATTATGTTAAAAGAATTTTTCCATTGGGAAATTTTTTTAAAAACAAAATTTCTAAACTATAAAATCTAAATATGTATGTCTAAAAATTCAAATAATAAAGAATCAAGGTTTCAGTGGGCTCACAACTTTCTTTCAGAGGATACGTTCATTACTTCTGAGATTAGACTGAAGTTTGTCCTTTGAAGTAAATCAGTAGAAAAGGTATATGCACAATTATATGGGTCAATGCACTTGTGTTTGCATAATTATAGCTTATTTCATACCAAGGAATTACATAATTAAGAGATATTTTTCTCTAAGTTGGGCATTAATATCTGAGTAGGAAGTTAAAATATTTTTTCATATAGAAAGAATTGCCTTAACTCCTCAATTTAATCTATTTTTTAAGTTTCTAGTTGACATTAGGAGAATATCAATATTATTACTATGAATTATGGAAGCATAAAGTATGGCACTTGTTTCATGACTAATCTGCACCTTGCATACTTTCCCTTTAATAAAAATACAATGCATTAAAATGTTAATCTATAAGTCATCTAAGTTATTTTGTAATTTTTAATTACATAGCCAAGATGGAAAGTATAAGGAAGAGGGGTGTGGCGGCAATATTCCACTTACAGCAGCAGTGGTGTGTGTGGATACCCACTGCTGATCCAGTTCTCTGCCGTTCGGGGAGTTGGCACACACTGCACAAAACCAATGCATCTGATGCGCAGACCTCCCTCCCCTCACCCGCTAAACTCTCATCTTCAGCAAGGCCTGCTGAATGGACAGGCATTGATTATTCAATCATAGCAATCTTATAGTATCCATCAGGCAGGATATACCCACCGTATCAGAATTTATTTTCCCAAAGTCTTCCTCATTTTCCACAGGAATAAAAACTGACTCAGACAGGAGTTCTCTCTTCCACATAATTTCCGATGTTTTCAGGATGAATTGAACATTTGAAAAGATGTTTGGATACTTGTGATATAGCTCTTCAGAGGAAGAAAGTGCTATTGCAAGAAAAAATCATTTGTGAAAAATATTTTATTAACATTTTGCATTGTATTAGATTGTCTTTTTGTTATTAAACTATAATTAAATTCAGTACCCAGCTGCTACAACTAGTAAAGATTTCTAATGTTATGTATGCCCTCTGGTGTTGAAAAAGAAAACTACAACATAATTCAGAACAGCCTTACATGAAGCTTGAGTGCCCAATTAAAAATTGTTACCGCTCAGCAATGCTTGGTAGCTTCAAGTGGAAAATAAATCTACTTATAATAGATATTCCATTCATAATGGATACTTTAAAATTGTAATCCTACAAACAAATCAATGTTCTTACTTCTAACTCAACATTCTCCAGTTCTATTTCTTTTCAAGATGTTATTAGTGATTTTAAAGTACATACTTTAAATATAGGCAACAATTATGTCATTTAACATAAAATTTATGTAATATTTAACAGAGTCATCTTGTTTCTGTTCAGTGAATCCTCACAATGGAAAAATTAGTGATGGCCATCCTTCTACTGGACATCCTATGTAGATAGGTAACAGCTATAATAGCTTCAGGTAGAAAACAACCTGCTACCAAAGACAGAGATGTAACCAAAGGATCTCCTTAACAGCATTATTAAGAGGTAAGAGGATTGTTTATGAGAGACAGGTTTTGATTTTCTTGGGACTTATACACAATAAGAAAATAATAAGAGAACTTGAGGATTTATTCAAATAATTTTTCTAATTTATTTGACACTATCATTTCAAGTCACTATGTTGAACACTGTGAGGAGTTGGAAATAGAATTTATAATTGACTGAAGAAATTGTTAGATATAACATACGATTCACAGGAATTCCTATTCTATCAGTCTACAGCCTCCTCTTGGTTTCATACTGTGTCAGGACTCGTAGAACTAGTGCAAGCTAATTGGTCTCTAAAGCACTTCTGCTATTTTTCTACCTCTTCTCAAAGACTTTTTCCATCACATATTACCCCTCTTCTTTGACCTTGAGACTCCTTCACTTATCATATAACGTACTAATCTTCTTTTGACCTGACTTTCTCATTCAAACTATTGACATAGTTGTGTGTTGATATAAATATTTTAGCTTAACTTTTGAAATATTTTACAATCTTTGTCTTATGCTTAAAATTTCCCTCCCTATTTAGCTCTAATCTCAATTTTGCTCTCACCTCTCCATGGGGATACCACCAAAACCAATGGTGACCTTCTTGTTGTATAAACCCACCACATTTTTCAGATATCCTACTTTTTTAACCCTTGTACAGATTTGATAATGTTGGTTTTCTTGAACATTCCTCCTTGGATGTCATTATTCCTCCTACTTCCTGAATACTCCATTAAGGGCTCTGTTACTTCAATGGCCATTAAATATTTATGTTCCCGAAGACTCAATTCCTAGAATCAGTCTCTCCATACCCACCTGACTCTCAGACTACTTCAGCCACATTAATGTGAATAACTGCAAAATTGATATCTCAGGCTTTACTTTTTCTCAGTGACCTTCAAATTCACTATCTCCAGTGTTTCTCCAAATCTCAACCTTATTACTCAATAGATAAAACTTCAATTTCCTCCTGAATCCCTCACTTTCCTTTATGACTCAGTCTTTTTTTATGTCCTAAATATTTTTAAAAACCACTTTACTGTATAGTATTTCCCATCTTCCCCATCTCTTCCTCCACAATTCCTTTTGCAAGTATCTAAGTGATGTATATTCTGTTCATGCTGGATTGCAAAGCAAAGGATATTCCTTCCTCTGGGCCTCAATCAACACAGTTGAAGGACATTGTTTGAGACAGTGCTGAGAAATACTCTGCTTGTGCACAGTATGACAAATTGTCCTCCTGTTTCTGCTCTCTCCTACCTCATCCAGCATCTACACAGCTATTAAATTTACCTTACCAAAATATGCATTTAACATTTTAAAAATTCAGTGTGGTACGTATTACTACAAATGAGAAAACTGAGTCATGAGCATCACCATACATACAGGTAGAAAGTAAAAGAGGCGATGATAGAATGGTTTTAGCAGAGGCTGGAGGGGAAAATAGAAGGGGGTAGGGAAGAGGGAAGCATTAGTAAGGAGTATGAAGTTTCAGTGAGATGAGAGGAATAAGTTGTAGTGATCTACAGCACAGCATGACTGTAGCTAGTAATAATGTTATGTTTCAAAATTGCTAAGAGACATTTTAAATATTCCCACCACAAACAATAATAAGCATGTGGGAGGAAAAACAAAAGCGGAGCAAATGCAACCTGACCCAGAAGCTGATGCTATACCTGTCATCGTTCATGAAACACACTGCAGCTTAGGCTCTTTATCAGTCTAGGCTTCTTAAAATGTGACATAAAACAGTCATAAGTGTAAAAACTCAAAGATATCCTACCATACAAATATGGGTGAAGCCTAAGTAAATGTTCTTTAAAACTTTCTAGGTGGCCGTGCAGGAAAAATACAAAAAGTCGTAAGAAGATCAAATAGCCAATCTGTCAAGGGGAAAAAGAGAAAAACATTTTTGTTTTGCATCAACAAATGTTCAAAAGCCATATAGAAAATAAAGTATTTTATTATTACAGTTATGTTTGATGAAACAATTTCAAACTCAGTTGATGTTATATGTTTTTGAAATGACTGCAAAAGATTTATGTCATGATTGAAACACTAGTTAATCTCCCCAAAACTTTTATAAATCATCTCTATATTACAAAGAATGACCAATACTGAGTGCTATTTACTTTTATAACCTCTAGAACAGTACTTTTTCAAGTGTCAGGCCATGTCCCTTAAGTGAATCATAAAATCAATTGAGAGAGGATTTTTAAATAAAATAAAAGAGGAAAAAACATCATGGTATACTGTGCAATTCTTTTCATAGTGTGGAAGTGTGTAATACGTGCATGCTGGATAACCATGCAAAGTAGATTTCTTCCTAATCAAAACAGTTTAAAAAACCGTGTTAGATCATGCATGTGTACTGCATGCCCCATTCCCTCAGAAAAGTACAATGTCATTACTTAGCAAGCACTGTAAAATCTTCTGTGATGTTTAAGATTGTTTTACACAGAGTACAAAAAATGTAAAATTAGAAAAAAAACACAAACTATTAAAATAAATAGAATGCAGGTTTTTCATATTGTTAAATACAGAGATGAACCAAACCAAGTAATAGCAATAGCTGTCACTATAAAGTGTGTGTGTGTGTGTGTGTGTGTGTGTGTGTGAGAAAGAGAGAGAGAGAGGAGAGAGAGAGAGAGAGAGAGAGAGAGAGAGAGAGAGAGAGAGATACTTCAAATACTCTTCACAATAACACAGATCAAAATAGAATAGATGAATCTTACCAAGTCTCCATGTTTCTCACCCAACACTATTAAGCAAATAAGTACCATTCTAGGATCTTGAACCTATAATGTTCAAGATTGTGAACATTATAGCAGTGTTTTTTGTGTTTTGCCCCCAAAGCCATGAGGTTTCAATTATAGCAGTGATTTTCACTGTTCTTTTTTTTTAATCAGAAACCACTATCACTAAAATAGACTTTGAGGATATACAACCAATACACAGAAATGCTTCTATAAATTATAACTTATAAATATGCATCATTTATACAGTTATAAAATAAATAAAAATAAAATTCTTAAAAGCATGCACAGAGCCACTTTTGATAGGACTGAGCTTTTCTAAGAGACTGAAGTTAAATGAGAAGGAAGTGAAGGTTGGCAGCCCAGGTAAAGAATATCACAATATTCTAGATGAGACTATTATAGGCAGCAACTCCCATAGTTACAGACAATGAGTGAAAAGCTAGTCAGAAAGAGGATGGTTTAGGATTTTTCAAGGGATTAAATTATATTATTAAACTAAATTATATTAAAAGTAATATAATTAATGATAAATATTGTGCCAAAAAAAGAAAATACTGTACTGTACACCACTTTGGTCTTGAATTTCACCTGGCCCAGAGGTTATCCCTAGTTATAACTGTGCTTCAAAAAGTGGTTTTAAAAGATTTCATCTGAGATATTGTGAAGACCATATTTTTATTGAAAATTCTGCCTTTCCATATCTCGAAGAACTCCTGGGACATTCTTTTTTTGTCTCGTTGTACACATTCTCACCACAGCTTAACAACTCAAGCTTTGCCTGGGACTGAATCTGTGTCTTTGAATTTCTTTCTTTCTCTCCCATCTTTACTTCCTTTATCCTTTACTTCCTTCTCTCTTTCCTTTCTTTTTCTTCTCATTTTCTGACTTCTTTAGCTGACTATGAAATAGAAATGCTACATCATGTTTATCCTGTGTTGTGCATTTTCGTAGTTGGTTACATGGTTTGTGAGGCACTGTTTTTATTTCTACCCAATGTCTATTAAACTACTGTTGCTTATATATTATTCCCTGCAATTCTACAAGAAGACAGGAATCCAGAAAATTCTACCTTCAGAGGCAGCTAGAAAGGAAAGAAAGCACATAAAATTTGGAATGAAATGTTAAGGAATTATATATTTATGGCTTTTCTCCAATCTTGAGTTACTTCATCAAAGGAAATACAAAATCATGCAAATGGAGGTGTGGAATGCCACTGGCAGCACTGCTTAATAAAGCTTCCTGTCAAAAACAAAAGCAAAAGGAAGGTTGCCCATAGAAGTTCAGTTACACAATTCCACAAAGACAAGAAAGCTGTAGGCCATTTTTATTTCTACTCACTAGTTGATATTTAACTAATATCAACTAGCTAATGAAGAATAAGTTTTTTAAACTATTAAGTCTGAGAACTAGGTATATGTGTAGCCTCACTGCTGAGAGTCCACTGGACTCCAGACTCCGCTATCAGGGCTTCCAGAATCTTTTCTGCAGATGTGTTGTGTAAGTCACTTAAGCTCTGTGTGCCATAATTTCCACACCTGTGAAATGAGGGATAATAATAGCATTTATCTCTCAGAAATGTTGTGAGAATTAGATAATATATCTAATATGGTTATAGGCATTTATCATTGTGCAAAGCACATAGTTAAGTGCTGTTTGTTTGCAGCTGCTGTGAGAACCTGCACAAGTTGTACAACCCAAAGATAAGATTTAGGAATCTTTTCAGAATTAAATGGCATGGTGTGCATAATGTATAATCAATATATTTAGTGAGTGAAACTATGTTTTATAATGGCTTTTCTTTTAGCAGAATTTTAAATGTCAAGAAATGGAGAAATCTACACCTTCCTGGCCAGTGGTACCAACGGCAGAACTTCAGGCAATCTTGCTAGACCAGGCAGTCACTTGGAAGAAGGATTGACCTGGAGTGCAATCAATACCTTGGGATGGTATTGCACCTGGATGGGCTGTTTTTGGAAGATTCTGATTCTCACTGTATCATGTCAAGGACCTCCTAGCTCAATGTCCTTGCACAGTCACCAGTCCGGTGATGGCTCAGATACAGAGATGGCTCCTGGTTGTAACACACCAATTTTATTTCCTTTTTTAGATCTTACATTTTGGGAAAGACAGAAAATACGGCCCTTTTGAAGAGTCTTCATTGACACACATCCGTTCAAGCCTTGCTGACAGAATAAGAATGCAGCCGCTGAGCAGTTGGGAGCACAGACCGGAGCCTCTGCCCATCTCCACTCAGGAATGGGGACTGAGCTTCAAGTAGAAGCGGAACAAAAATCAACTTAAATTTCAAAAAGACCACAAAGCCACTAATTGACCGTCCTACTTTTAACTTGGATACCTGCTGTTCTCCCAAAAGACATTTTCTAAAATAGTTCTGAATGGGACACTTTTCCTCAGTCCCACAAGCTCTGAAGCCAGTGTCTGGCTTACTATAAGAAAAAAGAAGTGTACTAATATTTAAGGTGTTGAGTATTTCATAGGAAAACTGAATGCTGCTGTAAAGTGCTCTTTAAGTCTTTTGAAGAATCTAGTTCTAATCAATGAAATTAGGGGACTTTCAGGGAGAAAAGGAGTGATTTGCAGTTGGTGATACACCACACTGCAAATGTAAAAAACTACTAAAAAAGTAGTTTTAGGCTTTCTATATTAAGAAGCAGATATTAGGGCATTTTTTAAGATGTTTTATGTACACTTGTTATCTCTCATGATAATAAATTTGTCATAACTCACTAACATGGCCTTCCCCTAGAGGTAGTTGTGAATTTTGAAAAATTAATGTTTTGTCAAGGTTCTGATGATTAAAATCTGTACTACTGATTGTTAAGCAGGACTTGCTTTCTGATACAAATACCTCAAAAGGAGGAAGTAATGTCTAAATACATGGGTAGCTTAGCTGTACAAGTTGTATACTGTATCATCTCCTATCATATTATTTATTATTTGATAAGAATTTTAATTTATGTGGAACTTCCAAAACACAATTGAGATCCTATATGAATAGTATCAAAGTATTAGTACATGGTAAAGAACACAGGCTGGTAAAAAAATATTAGACTATTTAAATAATATGTAAAAGTATTCAGAATGGCACAGAATGAAGGTGAAAGCTTTTAAGGGCACATTTCTTAGAAAGCTTGCCAAGGGTGTAAGTACTTGAGGCTATTCTTATTACATGAGTGTTTTATGACTTCACTGAAATCTGCACAATTCAGGTTCAGTTCTGAATTGCATCAGTTGAACTTTGTGAAGGTTTTTAACTGTAAAGTATGTGTTTGACTTGTTTTAACCTATTAGGGTTTTTGGTTTTCACTTTTTTTTAAGTAAAATTTACTAGAGGAAAAGCAGTATGTGTTAATGCTAAGAAGGTTGGTTTTGGTATGGCTTTTTTTTAGTTGGGCTTTCTAACATTGAGGTATGCTTAATGTGGGGATCTTCAAGACTAAAATCCTCATTTATAGCTTCTCACTTGAACCAGAGCAAAGTCCACTCATTATCTTTTTTCTATAAGTTCGGGGGGAAAAGTGCCAATTTAGACTTTTCATGATGAGGTAGGAGCACTGCCATAACAACTTGACTCAGTGCTTATTTTTAAAACTGTATTTTAAAAATTAAATAATATCACAATAATGATTAAGCTACCATTATGGGTACCCTGTTCTTAATCTAAACTTAACATTTTTAGTTTTTTTAAAAATTATTGTTGCACTGGGGGCACATTGTGACATTTACAAAAGTTTTTACAATTTATCATAGCTGAATTCACCCCCTCCATCATTCTCCTTTATCCTCCCTCCCCACATTTCTGAAATAGCTTCACAGGTCTCAGTTTTCCATTTATAAACACAAGTATATAATATTTCCACTGTGTTCACCCTCCTATACCCTTTCCTTGTATCTTCTCCTCTCCCACTGGTACCAACCCCCAGACAGAACCTGTTTCACCTTCCTGTTCTAAACTTAACACTTTATATTTCTTCCATTTGGGGAAAAAACCCTACATGCTATAAGCCACCATTTGCACAGACTATACAGTGAGTTGAGCAGACTTTTCCACAGCCTTTGAGGTGAATTACAAGTCTAGCCATTATCATCTTCTTGAGTTATTTTGAAATGGGTTTTTTTGTATATCTAGCTGCAGCATTGGTAGTAGAATATACTATAATACTTAGGGATTTATTTATTTATTACTAGACCTCAATCACAGTCTTCTTTTTCCCCCTTTCCTCCTCTCTTTGCCTGTAGGGAATATGGTATATAGTCACGAACTATGTATTAATATACTAGAAATCTATATATCTGTTTTGTACTTTTTATACTGTTAGATACTTATAATTAAAACTTTTACTGTGATATTGAATAAATTGAGTCTAATAAGAAAAAATTTTTAAAAAATAAAGAAATGGAGGGCTGGGCTGTAACTCAGTGCCAGAGTGCTTGCCCAACATGTGTGAAAAAGACAAAAAAAAAAAAAAAAAGGAAATGGAGAAAGGTTATTAAAAGAGACAAGATAGAAAGGAGAGATAATCTAGACTTGCTTCATGTTTTCCATTCCCTTCTTTTTCCATTTCATTTTTTCATTATAAATATGTGTATATTTAGGTTTTATATAATTCTTGTTTGAATTTATATTTTAATTTTATATATTTCCCTACTTTCCAGTATAAAATATAAATATATGTCCATAATGGACAGTTTGGGAAGTTTAAAAAAAAAAAAAACCTTTGTAGTCTCACCACTTCAAGGCAACTTTTGGTAACATCTTAACTCTTTTCCTCTTCCATGCAAAACCCCAGTTCCTTGCACGGCCACTTCCTCTTAGGTGTCCTCTGCACTCACTGTGCCTGGTCTCCATAGGTCTTCTACTCCCAAATGTGTCAGAGAGCATCTAGACTAGGTTTAAAATGACTCAAATATGTTTAAATGCCTGTCCTATGGACTGATTCATGAATAGTCTCTCATGCTTGGTTTATATCAGTTCATAATAAAACTGAATGAGAAAAATACGCATTTTTGCATAATAAATTTCCTTTGTTTCATATATTTGATGTATATATTATCATTTTAAAGAATTTTTTCTAGCCTTTCTCCTTTTTATTTGCAATAAAAACATTAGTTAAACTAAATTTATTTAACTAATAATAAATTCTGCTATAGTCACCATTATTATTATAAATATTTAAACCATATGACTTCTAGGACCTTATAAAACATGACTTATGTGAAGGTGGTTTCCCGCTATGTAGTTCTAAAATGACAAAAAATACTGAAAGGACAATCTTCTCACATTGACAGATTATTTAAGGATATATGTCAGTATTTTGAAATGGAAAAGGAAGTAGCATTAAAAAGACCTTAAAAAGGAGAAAAGTCCTTAAGAAGAGAAAATCTATGTATGCTTAGAAAAACAATAAATATGTTTACTTCAAATAATTATTTTCTTACATAATTTGTGAAATTATATTTTCTCAAACTTTTCCATGTAGATATCAAGCAATAATGTAGTATGTATTATGAATATCCATACTTAGAGAAATTTAAACTATCAAACAAGAGAATGTTCCCTAATAAAAGTAAATGTCTTGTTTTTTCCTAAAACATGTCATTACACATACTACATATAATAATTAAAAATAATTTAAACAATTTAAAAACATACCTTTGTCAGCTTTATTTCAACAGAATACAAAAATGTCTTCTTGAATGCATCACAACAGAGTCTATATAAAATTGATTCCGCAACAAAAAATAAGGCAGGCAGTTGATCATAACCAAAGGAAGCATGATCCAGGGACGCATAAAGCATATTTAAAGCTTCTGAAATTTTAGAGTAGAAATTCTATCATTTAAAAAGCATCCTGATTTTCTACATGCTACAATTAGTTCTCACAGTTAACTATTTGCTCACCAGATTCTGATTTTAAAACTATTCACAAACTCTTTCTTGCCCTTCCCATTGAAAGGTAAATTCTATGCTCTCTTCCACTTAAACCTGAGCAGACTTTGTGACTGCTTCAACTAATAAAATGCAGCAGAAGTGAACCTGGGTGACTTCCAAGGGTAGATCAGAAATTTTCCTCTTGGATCTCTCTCACACAAGATACTAGCTTTTTAGGAAGTTCCACTCCTGAAGCTGTACTTGGAAGTACCAAGTGGAGAGATGACTTAAAGAGAGAGAGAAAAACTCATTTACAGTCATCACTGTATTGATCATGTGGCCATATACATAATGATAGAGAAACCAGACAGAACTGCCTGCTGAAAGGTGGTACCAAAGATAAATGCTATAAAAGAGAAGAGCAAAAGACCAGAAAATAGAGATAGAGAAGTAACACTACACTATGATGCTGAAGCCTAGCAACTTGACTCATTTTAAAGGTTTTGATTAGCTGCCATGTAAATATCCTAGGAAGAGCAGAAAATACAATGACCTTCAAAAAGGAAAACCCTGATGTGTTCAAGAGACAGGAAGGAAGCCAGTATGGCTAAAGCATAATGAATATGTAGAGAAGTAGCCAGGAGCCAGGTCGTATAGAGTTGGGGTTCATTCTCCATGAACTCAGAAGACACTGGAAATAATGTAAGCTATCAACTGGTCACTGATGGTGCAGAGCAGACAACAGAATGAGGAAGAGACAAGAGCAGAGGTGGACACCTGGTAGGAGGTTATTTTAGTTGTAGAGATGGTAAGAAGAAATCATATTTAGGGCATCATTTGGAGTTTGATATCCAAATGAATTAAAATGCTTTTGGTTCTGTGTAACAAATTCAACAGAAGCTATCTTCAAAATAAGGGTGTGTATTTTTTCAAATCAGGATTGGAATGTTTCCAGGATTGCTGGTGAAATGCCTTCTGTACACACATTTTTCTGTCTTCTCTTTTCCTCGACAAAACATGGTTGCTGTGCTGGCTGCAAGAGCTACAGGCACTGTGTTCCTGTAAGCAAGCTAGACAAGAATATTGAGGGGCACAGGCAGAAAAGGAATGCCTTCTTCCCAGCCATGTAGTTTTCAAGAACAACTAACAAAAAGTATTCTGAACACACTTGTCTTTACATTCCTTTAGGCAAATCACGTTTACTGCTAATCCAATCACTAGTAAATGAGTGGGAATTCCTAAAATTAATTTAGACAAACTATCAATCTAAAGGAACCCTCTGGGGCTGGGCAAGGACCAGTCTTCTTCTGAATCATATGACTTCAGGATGCCTGAACAAAAGCGAAATTTAATTGGCAATGAAGAACAAGTGACTGCGTTTGGTGGTAAGCCAAAAGTGCTTACCTCAATGTTATTTAAACATTTAATAGAGGTCAGGCTGTGGATGGCACTGTGATGAAGGATCATAAAGGCAAGTTTAAATGCAAACCAGTTCTGCCTTTTCCTATTGCTTGAAGCTCTCAGACAGCATTACAAATCCCAATTTACATGGGGAAATATTCTCTGACCTTATGTGGTTAACATTCTAAAACTTATTTTTAAAAGTCATCCACACATAGCATTTAGGATAATGATGAAAAGAATTTTATCCCCTTAAGCATAGTGTTATTTAATTTCTTTTTTAGATTGGCAAGAGGATTTTGAAAGGGGACATATAAATGAGAAGTAATAAATGAAAAGGTAATGAGTAAAATTTGCTGTTTAAAATAAGTAAAAGACAAATGACCATTTCATTAACATTTGATGAGTAAAAATTATAAAGTACAGAGGCAAATTTCTCAAGTATTGTGCCTATTGTAACTGGATATCACAATTGACAGCTTATATTACTTTTTAATTAATTACTAATTTTAGAACAAAGTCATATAGACTATGCTGAGTAAAATTTAAAACTTGTAATTAGTTGAGCAGTTGAAACCATAAATTCAAATTTTTCATAATGAGACATTATGAGATATTTTAATAAAGAAGGGCAATTTTTTTATAGTCTCCTGAAATTTTTCTAAAAATTAAAGTTCGCAAGGTATGCCTTAACTGTCAATCTTTGTATTCTCTGGATTCCTGAGAAGAACATGGTGTACATACCATCTTGGATTTTTCCTTTGCATTGAGCCAAGTATATTACTTCAGTCCATGCAGTAGGAAGGTGCACATGCCTCCCGGAGCCCAGTGTTTTGAGACCCAGTTTTCTCTGTTAGGGGAAGCATGAAAAAGGCAAAACAAAAGGTACATCTTTTACCTATGTCTTTATTTTATTATCTCTTCATTATATTCTTCATTGTATTGTGAAATTCATTCTATGAGGCTAATGCTTTGTAGCTAGAGCTATATACAACTTTATATTTTTGTTCTTATTTGTATTTTTGACATTTTTTGCAAAATATACTAGTGTTACAGGTAGAGAATGCTAATATTCTAAGTAATACTATAGCTTATTTGCTACAGTAACTCTCATTCTGCTTTCTAGGGATAACTTTTACATCATTCATTTTCCTGCGAGAATGAATCTCTGATTTTGTAAGAAAAAAAGATTAAAGAAATAAGTTTAATGCCAATTTTCTGGAAAACTCTGGGTACTTCAGTGATAATGGGATGATGTTAGTAGAGATGGCGGAGTTGATCCCATTCACCCAACTTCCCTTATTGTGTTATCCACTCCTGAGGCTCCCCAGGGAGTACTTAGCCAAGCTTACTGACAAATATACCTCCTGGCACCAATCAGCATGCACACTGATCATAAGCAAACTCTTTTTAAAATGAAATTTTTTAATTTATTTATTGTGCTGAGTGGAGGTACACTGTGACATTTACAAAAGTTCTTACAATGTATCAAATATATCCAATGTTTTAAAATTTTTGCAAATATGCGAGTGATCATGAGCTGTAAATTAACAATTACCACAACAAAAAAAGGCAGCCTACAATATGCCTCAGTTTTATTTCATGAATTATTTGGTATCAAAGCATTGTCACATATAGAGAAGGTTATTTCTCTGTCAAATGTATAGTGACTTGAATGTAGGAAAGGTAAGGTAAGAAATTCTTTCACTTCCTGTTCCATTTTGATATCTGTTTGAAAATTGGGAAATTAGTGTCATATTCTTTAAGAATTCATTTTCACAAATTAGAGAAGAATAGTTTATTGCAAAGAATAAAATATTCTATGCATGTATAATGCAGGTATAAGAATGTTTTCTTTCCTCTTTGTGATGCCTTATATCTCAGCTAAACATTCAAAGAGAAAGTAGAACTTTCATAATTAAGACTTATTTGAGGGCTTTTGACATTTTGTTTTGAGCTCTCAGACTGGTGTCAACAGCAACATCCCCTAATAATTTATGATGAACCACCACAGAAATAGCCAATTGACCTGGAATTATTTGGCTATAAACTTCAGATTTAATTTATATTAATATTTTAGCCATGCATAATTGTAATTATTTGAAGATTTTTTTATTCCAATGCTTTAGAACACATAATCATTTACCAAGTAGAAAACTCACATAGTAATCAAATAGGATATCATTACCTTGCATCTGAGAATATATTTTCTAGCTTGTTCCAACAATTCTTCCTCTTCTGCTGGATCCTGTGTTTGATTGAATCTTAAGATGAACTCATTTGTGATGGAAAAAGATGGCCTAAACCAAAACAATTTTTTTCAAATTTTAATTAATCAACTTCTAGTGGCTAAGTATAAGAACTTTCTAGAAAAAATAATTTACTTTTTAAATAAGAATGTTTCACACACAAAAATAAAAAATAAAAATATATGTGCTGGCCTCCTAGATTGATCTTGCCATATTCTAGATTGAGGAATAAAATCTCATTGTCAAAAACCTTTGTAGCCTCTGAATGAAAGTTCTCGAGATGACTGTCACAAGTATTTTGGGCATATGCTTTCTTCATAGGCAAAAATCTCACACAGCTTTAATTATATTGAATTTTCTCCTCACATTGGTTCAATGTAAGCTAAATGTTTATTCCTTCCATGCAAGAGTAATCAACACAATTGTAACTAGAGTGACAAATAGAATAATAAATACAGGATATAAAAATACTAGAAAAATTTATTCATATTTTTATAAATGTAAACAAAATCAAGAACTCATTACCTAGACTAAATGAAAGAGAAAACTCAAATAGAATAAGAAATGAATTGATATTTCATTTCAAATATTAATTGTATATTAATACAATTGACATTACTGAAATATAAAGAATAAGGGATTAGTATAAACAATTACAAATACACAAATTGTATGACTTAGAAAAATGCATAAATTCCTTGAAATGTGCAAATTACTGATGCTGAAGCAAGAAGAGATAGGTTGAACAAACCAATAACAAATGAGAAATCATAATCAAAAACCTCCAATGAAGGAAAGCCCAAGATCAATCCCACCAAATATTTCAAGATGAATTTATATAACCCTCTTAAAATCTTTCAAAAATATAAAAAGGAATACATTATTGAAAAGGAAGAAAATCACTCCATCATCACAATGACAAAGAAAAAGATTTCAGTGAAGTTTAGCCTCCATTCATGATTAAAACTCTCAACACAATAGCTAGAGAAGGAACATACTTCAACACACTGAAAGTTGTACATTGAAAGCCCACAAATGACATAATAACTAATGGGGGAAAACTGAAATCTCTCCCTTTAAGTCCCAGAAAAAGGCAAAATTTTCCATTTTCAACACCTGTTTTAGCATAGCATGGAAATCCTAGCAATCTTATAAGGAAAAACAAAAGGCATCCAAATAAGCAAGGAAAAATAAAATTATCTATTTGCACATAACATGATTATACATATGGAGACACCTTAGAGACACCACAAAAAACTGTTTATACTAGTAAATATACTCAGTAAACTTGCAGGATAAAAATATCAACAAAAAATCAGTAGTGTTTCTATACGCAAATAATAAGCTATTAGACAAGGAAATTAAGAAAACAATTTCATTCACAATAGCAAAAGAAAGAACAACATACTTAGGAAGAATTTACTAAAGAGAATAAAAGACTAAAGACTTGTACATTGAAAATTACAAAACACTGATAAAGGAAAACACAGAAGACATTGATAAATAGAAAGACATACTGTAATCAAAGATCGGAAGAACAGTATCATTAAAGTGCCAATATTACCCATGTGATCTGCAGATTCCATGCAATTCTATGAGATTTCAAAAGCATTCTTTACAGTTATAGAAAGAATTATCCTAAAGTTCTTATGAACCATAAAGATCTTCAATAGCCAAAGTAATCTTGAGAAAGAACAAAGCCAGACACATTATACATCTTAACTTCAAAATATATTCCTGAGCTACAATGATTAAACCCATACAGTATTGGCATAGCAACAAACATGAAGATCAATGTAAAACAATACAAAATCCATAAATGAATCTGTACATATGCAGTCAACTGTGCCAATAATAGACAACAAGGAAGGAACAGACTCTTTGATAAATGGAAAACTGGATATTCACATGCTGAAGAATGTAGAAAGACCTTTATCTCACACCAGTTACATGCAGAAGAATGTAACTCAAACTTTATATCCATCTATCTATATAGGTAGATAGATAGATACCAACTAAAATAGTTCAAAGATTTAAATGTAAGGTGCAAAACTGCTAAATGAAAAGAGAGGAAATAAGTTTCTCAATGATTTGAAAAATTAAAAAGACAAGCTTTATTTTTTTTTAATCATAGCAGCTTGCTATTTTTACAACACAATGAAAGTACAGAAGTCACTGGATGAGTGAACGGATGATTAAATATTAACATCACCATCCTTAAACAGATCCAAATGAGCAATGCTTGGCTGTTGCTTCTGTCTGAAGTGATGTTGTGTTTTGATTGTAATCCAAAGCTTTGAAGTGCTACTTGGCGTCTCCTTTCTCCCATGGAGCTCTCGCCACTAAACATGACAAATTTGGTAAAATACTCAATAGGCTGCCTCTTGTTTGCCTCCATCTAGCCATCTTTGTATGCATCCAATGGTTGTGGAGTTTTTTTGTTCTGCTCTGTTTTGTTTTGTTGTTGTTGTTTTGCTGGGGGTGTCCTGGCTATTTAATGATTTTTAGCTGAAGTTCATAAAGACACTGAGTATTTAGAAATGTGTCACTAATGAGCTGTATCAGACTGTTCTTTGGGTCCTCTGCTGGGAGAGTAGAATCCCTTTTTAACTGTATCCTCTAGTATTGTAGACATAGGACAGTACTATAGCATACCTCTGTGAACGTGCAACATCTTGCACCTGCTTTATGATATGCAGTAGTGATTTGCTTTATTAGACCTGTTTCTAATGATGTAACTCTAGAAATCTTTCTTCCCAGGTGATGATTGAGAAACTAATAAAAACATTGTACCAGGTGCCACAACAGTAGCAGAATTTTGCTGTTTTCTTGGGGTTTGTTATTTATCTTTTTTTAATGTGTGCTGAGTGTCTCAACAATTTTGTTGAGATGACTTCAGAACACAGAAAAGTTGCTGCTGCTATTAATCCATAATATATTGCTATTATTTGTCTATTAATATGAGTATATAAATAAATATATATATATATATATATATAATTTGAATTTTTGGAAACTTTAGCTATGCTGTCAAATTTGGAGAAAAGTATTCCAGTTTACCATGCTGAGTTGGAATTGTACAGAAATTAAAATCTACATTAGCCTAGAAACTTGACTGTATTTCACTTGTACAGAGGTAATGCACTGTATTAAGTTTCCAAGATCATATCTATATGAGTTTGATTACAGAAACTAATAAAGTATTCTCTAAATACTGAAAAAAATGGGCTAAAGACCTGAACAGACATTTCTTAAAAGATTATGTACAAATGGCCAACGTTTGTATGGCGCCAGGCATCAGGAAAATGCAAATAAAGACCAAACTAAGATAACATCTGATACCCACTAGAATTAATTTTAACACAAAGACAAAGATTTTAAGTGTGACATGACCTGAAGAAAATGGAACCCTTGTGCATTATTGATTAGAATGTAAATTGGTATAGTCATTATGGAAAATGGTATGGAGTTTCCGACTCAAGTGACAGAGCTCCTGCCTACCAAATATGAGGCCCTAAGTTCAATTTCCAGTATTACCAGAAAAAATATCCCAAATAGAACTACCATATGATCCAACAATCCTACTTCTTGGTATATATCTAAAGGAAATGAAATCAGTATCTAGAAGAGATACATAGATTCCCATGTTCATTGCAACATGTTCACAATAGCCAAGATATGAAAACAATCTAAGTGCTTATTGATGGATGAATGGATAAAGAAAACGCATATGCATGCATGCACACACACACATACACATATACACATACATACATACAAAGAAATGTTATTCAGCCTTAAAAAATGGAAATCCTAAAATTTGCAACATCAGTGAACCTGGACATAGTGTTAAGTGAAGTAAGTCAGACACAGAAGGAAAAATACTGTAGCATATCACTTATTTATAGAATATGAAACAGTCAAACTCATGAAAATGGAGATCAGTCAGAATGGTGAATGCGGGAGGTAGAGGAAGGGGGAAATGTTGGTTAAGGGATACGAAGTTTCAGTAATGCAGAATGAATAAGTTGTAGATATAATGTACAGCAGTGTGACTAGAATTTACAATATAATTGCTTATTTGAAATTTGCTTAAAAAGGTAGATATTAAGAGTGGTCATAGCATCTGGTCATGGTGGAGCATGCCTGCAATCCCAGCTACTCAGAAGTTTAAGGCAGGAGGACCATAGTCTGAGGTCAACCTAAGCAAAAGCAGGAGACTCAATCAGAAAAGAAAGAAAGCTAAAACTAAAATCAAAAGTCCTGGGTGTGGCTAAAATATTAGAGCTTTTAACTTTTAACCAGGCACGAGGTATTCAGTTCAACGCCAGTACTCCCAAACAAAAAAGAGTGTCATCATAACTAAAAAAAAATAGCTATGTAAGGTGATGGATATGTTAATTAGTTCAATTGTGGTAATGATTTCACAATACATGTACATCAAATACAATTTGTCAATGACACTTGAAGATGGAAAAATCCAAGTTTTAAATAAACAAATGGAGCCATTTCTACAACACAGGCATGCTTTTATTATTAAATTTATCATAGGTTTTCTGCAGGTTCTAGTGATTCTAAAATGCAATAATATGGATGTATCACAATAAATGTAACAATTCCCTTCTTTGACTGACTGTTCTCATTATTTACAAAATAATTTTGGCCATTGTTACCCAGTGTAATGATAATAATAATACCCTTATACATGGACTGATATTCAACAGATGTACACCATTCTTTTCAACTCCTATACTATATCTATAGTTAAATATTTTGCATGTTACCTCTACTTATAAACACATTTATACATTTGAATTTTTTATTACTATAAGAAATGATCTTCTCTTCCCTTTCCCCCACAAATGAATTATAGTAGACCCTTGGTATCTGCAAGTATATGGGTTCTGAGGAGACCACTGTTGAGGAAAATCCATGAATGCTCAGGATGCAGAGAATTTAAACACAACTGGATAATACAGGACTGACTAACAGTTTCTCCACATCCACTGAGCTGCTTAATGACCCAGTCTTGGTCAAAACAATGTGTAATA